GTCTAAACTCCTTGAAGGAGGTTAGATAGGGGAGTATTATAGGGCTTATTCACGGGGATGGGAGTTTAGACCATAGCTCACATGAGAATGAGAGGAGTAATGATGGCGTAGCGCGTAGCACCATTAATGCTCTGGCATTTTAGCTGACTCTTGCAGGAGAATGACTGATCATGGTACTGCGTCCTGAGATGAATCAATATGCTTCCTGCAGGGTACGCACTCCCAGGACTGATAGTTCTAGGGATCCAAAACCGCCCAAAGTAGAATACTCTTCGGTACTGAGCCCTAAACCCTAATCCCTAGGGCCCAAAATGGGCATTGTCCTTGGACTTGATGGCCCAAAGTACAGGGCAGGTCGATTTGCAACAGTGCGGCAGGCCCCGAGGAAGCTGGCTACAGGATAGACCAACCCTTGGATGTCATGCTTGACAACGCACCTCGGTAGGTGGTTTGTAGGTGGTTTAGCGTTCAGGGTTTTGGGTTTGGGATGTTTTTTCAAAATGGGGGAGGGGGACTACATTGAGATTGCAAGGTGATTCTGGGCGCCCTCAATAGGGACTTTGTCGGGATTTGTTTGATACATGCTGAGGTTGTGGTCTAATGCGTATGTCTGCACCCAACTTAGATTGAAGACAACGACCTTTGGCTTTATCTAAACTAGATTTGAAGGAGTTGTCTTTGGCTTTTCATAAGCGCCTTTCGGCTGAGTGGCTGGTGGCGCCTTGGTCTCTTTGATACAGGAACTTAAACCCTAACGTCCCTGAAGCCCAAAGTTTGGGTTTCACAAATCGAGGCGTCTACCAAGAAAGTTCTGGTTTCGGGTGTTGATACATGGTCTCGGGCGAATTAGGGTCCCGTTCCCCAAACCCTAAACCCCAAACCCTTAACTCTAAACCCCAAACCCTAAACCTTCCTAGTCTAGTAAGTTTTTTGTTTCCCCATATACCAAAGTTTCCTGAAAGGACTTGCCTTTCAACAGGGGATTGCGGTATATGAGCTCTAGTCTAAACTCCTTAAAAGGGGATTATATGGGGGGTTCTATAGGGGACTACTATAGGGCTTATTAAGGGGGAAACTAGGAGTTTAGATTGTGGCTCATATAATATTCGAGGTCTAGGGCCTAGGGTTGAGGGTTTAGGGCTTAGGGTTTTCGTGCAGCAATAGAGGGATTTGAGGCGTATAGTCAGGCTTTTACAGCAGGACCGTCCTCCGACCGCACTCGAAAAAGACCTGCGTGCCCATTCCTTAGAAAGATACTACTGAACCATACTTCCTTGAGCCTCCAAACCCAATTTGAAACCCTTAACCCTAAACCCATAGCACTGATTAGGTCCAGGGTTTGAAAAGGAGTCCTCATACCTTAAAGCCTAAACCTCCCATTCTGTGCCATATGAAAAGGGGCCTCTTCCCTGAAACCTACACGGTGTAAGGTTTAGGGTTTAGAGTGCCCTGAACTCAGGAGACCAACAAGAATGTGGCTGTAGCCAATGCTTCGGGGAAACGGGCAGCCAGCATAGCAGCACGACTGGTGACGTAGGGTTTGGGGACTAGGAAGCCCAAAGCCTGAACTTTCAGGCATCAGGGCTTCTGGTCTAGGGTGTAAGATGTAGAGCTCGGAGCTTATAAGGTTTGAGATTCAGAGTTTGGAGTCTAGGGTTTGAAGCTTAAGAACTGGTTTTCAGAATTTTCGAGTTTAAGGATTGGAGCTCAGGAATTTGATTCAGAGTTTAGAGTCCAGGGTTGAAGCTTAGGACTTGGGATTCAGAGTTTTGAGTTTAGGGTTTGGAGATTAAGGTTTAGAGCTGTGGGTGTGGAGCTCAAAATTTAGGGTCTACTATAGTATGTTGCGAGACACCTGGCGATGTTGGTCCAGCTGCTGAAACACATCTTGCTTCGTACTTGAAGGAACCCTAAACCCTATAAACCCTGAAGCCTAAACCCTAAACCCTGAAGCCTAAACCCTAAACCCTAAGCCCTAAGCCCTAAACCCTAAACCCTAAGCCCTAAACCGCAAGCGGCTTTCTGAGCAAAACATGTAGGGCGTCGCACGGGTCAATGTGGGTGGCATTTTCACGGGGTTGTATACCATGCCTAGGTGGACCTCCCAACCTGTCATAGTGTCTACAAGGAATAATACAAACTATATTCGGGCCCTCTTATATCCCTATTATACCACTATAACAGGGTGGGGGGTCCTTCTTTACCATCCCCCCTTGCTGCCTCCCTGCCTAAAATGAGGCCGAAACACACGCCTCATGCGTGGTCTGTTTTGCTGGAAGGGGAGTGGAGTATAGTATAGGATCTCACCTTTGTTGCGTCTTCAGCTGTTGTTATTACAAAACGTTGGCTTGCCATATTCTGATCTGAAGTTGTTCCGTTCTTACAGTAGTCACGTGTAGTGTTTTTTCCATTTGCCTTGTGTAGATGCGTTTGTTTTCATGCTTTTCAGTCTTAGCTTTGTCCTGCCAAGTCTTAAATCTATGGAACGGCCGGCATTTCAAGCGTTGTCCCGGAGCATTGCCTTTTGATTTTCCGTACCCTCCATAACCTCTCTAAACCAAACCCACTATATTGTATAATCCCCTTTTTCCCTACTAAGAACCATCAAGCTGAGACAAACCCTGACGCACTCCCATTCAGGTAGAACTTAGGAGGACCCCCCACCCTGTAATAGTGACTATAACGGATAATAAGGAATATATTAGGGTCCTATTGTCCTATTATATTCCTATTATTATACTACTATTCAGGGGGGGGGGGGGTCCACCTAAGGTAGAAGATGTCATGGCGCGGCATGATGACGGCACTGCTACACTTGCTGTGCAGATCCTCACCGGGCGGTACCATCAGGTGGCCGGCTTCTTTGCATACCCAAGGGTTGTTCAATACAGGGGTCCCCTTTAAAGTAGTGATAGGGATATATAGGGTTCCGGGTTTCCCCAAATTAGAGGTACCTCTTTGAGGGTCCCAATAGTAAGTACTCTTGTATTTTGGGCCCTATATTAGGCTCCCCTTATTTTTGGAAACCAAGACTTCTGCATGTAGAGACTAGAAAGTCCCAATTCTTGTGATGGCAAAGTAAGCCTTCTTCAGAAACCCTGCGAGGTTCGATGTCACCTGCAGCATGCTGGCTGGCCCATCGCAGCTACGGTTGCACCTCAGTGACCCTATTTTAGGCGTGGATGCAACCACACCGAATTTAGCTAGAGGCTTTACACGTCTACTTCAGTGCTTTCAGTACAATAGCCAGTACAAGTCTTTGTCGGCGCTGGTGCTCGTGCTCCTGACACCTGCAAGCGCCACTTTTGTGCCCTGAAACCCTTACCTGTGGATTTTGCTCTTGCTTTACTCAGGCAAATGACCCCATCTATGGGGGCGTGCAGCAGTTGGGGCAGGAGTCATTGGGGTGCAGATTTTGCGGAATCGAGATTTGGTAGTTTCCATAAATAGGGGGACCCCAGTATAGTCCCCAATATGCCTTACTCCTTGTTGTGGGGAAGCCCAAAGTAGTACCCCTAATTTTGGGAAACCCCTATTTCGGTGTGATTGCAGAGAGCCTCTGCCTAGTCCTCAGGAAGACACCAGTGTGAGGGTTTAAGGGTTTAGGGTTTAAGGCTTAGGTGTACTATGTAGTTGTGCATAACTCAATCTCCAGAGCATTCATGCGTGAGAGCACCCGAATCATGCTGAAAGTCGTCATTTCATCCCTAAACCCTAAACCCTATAGCTGGTCAGTGAAAGAGAATTGTGGCCACTGAATCGCGTGTGGTCGGCTGTGGCACCAGCAGTGGCAAGCCCAGAGGTTAGAGCCATTCTCAGTCTTGCTTAAACCTTGCAATATAGCGTTTAGGAAACATTGAGACTAGCATGGTACAATATATGGTAGTTTCCCAAAATAAGGGGACCCCAATATAGACCCAAAAATATTATAATCCATATTATGGGGACCCCCAAAAAGGTACCCCTAATTATGGGAAACCCCCATATAGGGATAGGGCCTATGTAGTATACCTATGTAGACTACCGCCCATGTATAGTGCGTAGGTGACCCGCATAGATCGCTAACAACCCCAGGAGATCTTCAACGGAACGCGGGCGCAGCAGATGATCTTGGATCACCAGCAAGAGGGTTGCAAGTCCTGCGAATACTTCCGGAAGCCCGGAAGTCAGTTCAGTTGAAGGTTTAGGAGTTGAGTTGAAGGTTTAGAGTGCTATTGTT